ATTCAATTCAATCAACATGGCAGGTAATGATGCTATTACCGTTTTCTTAGTAGAATCAGAAAACAAAGAATGAATTGTAGACATTGGAGCGATAAATCATATAACCTTTGACTTGAGTCTGTTGGAAAACATAGTTAAAGTAGGAAATTCAAAAGAAAAAAAAGTTAATCCACCTAATGGAACCTTCACGCATGTGATTCATTTAGGGACTTGTAGATTGATAGATAAGGAAGTAGTGAGCAAGGTACTGTACATCCCTGATTTTAAGTATAATCTACTATCACTGTCAAAGCTCACAAGAGAATTAAGACGCTCAACTTTGTTTTTTCCTGAATTCTATGTGTTCCAGGACCTTTGCAGTGGGAAGGTCAGGGGGATTGGTAAGGAAAGAGGAGAACTATATCTGCTTACACAAGCGCCTACTAAAGATAGTTCAAATCAGTTAGTTATCTTGGTTGCAAGCAAGGAAAAACAAGATGTTAAGCTTTGGCATAATAGATTAGGTCTTTCCTCTTTGAAGTCATTGAGTCAAATTTTTTATTTTTCTCAATATAATTGTAGAAGTCAGTTGAAAAAAAGTTACACCCCAAGTTTTCATACGTGAGAGTACGTCGTAAGTCATTGATGTAAGCTCGGAAATGAGATTATATTTGGAAGCAAATAAAGTAAGTTAATCATGTTACCTTGGAGGTTACAAATATTTAAGATCATGAATAACGAGTACCAAGAGGGTTGGAAATCTTAGAAGCTAAACCAATTGAAGAAAATAAGTTTCGTCGAAAGTTGACAAGTTTCGAATGTTATAACATGTACTTTGGGGTGAGACTAGGGTTATTAACATGATAAGGAGGTTATTCTATGCGTTATTTTAGTCGTATGATATTCATTTTCTATATTTTTAAGGCAAGCAATTTGTGGAACAAGAGTTGGCAAAGGTCATCACAAGTTACATTCGTAAATTTGCTGAAATTTAGGTCAAATGTATCTGAGAATTTCTCCAAATATACTAGGAATCATGGGGTGTTATGCCTACCAAATT